TTTTGTAATATGTACAATGGTTGAAGTGAGCTTTTGTAAGTGTTTCACCAGTTTTCAACGCCATACTCTAAGTATGGTAAAATCAATGCAGAATACAAAATGCGAAGTGCTTTAACGTCCAGTATATATCTAACCCTTGCCAATATCGATATATTTTTCATATGAGACATATGTATATTTCATATATGAGATTTCCAGGATAATCTGTCGTCAACCATGACACCCAGAAATTTGATTTCATATACTCGTTCGATGTTAGCACCCCCAATTCTCAATTGAAGTTCATTATGTGGTCTACGGTTCCCAAATACCATATATTTAGTTTTCTCCAAATTCAAAGATAGTAAATTACTATCACACCATTTCTTTATCTTCACAAATTCCTCTGAAACCCTTACCGAGAGTTGCTGTAGGTTTTCATCAGATGCCCAAATGGTAGTATCATCAGCAAACAAAACCACTTTAACAATTTCAGAAACCTTACATACATAATATCTGCCAGAAGTCTTTATAGGTTTTTTTAGGATTCTGAAGGACACCTGATTTCTCCTGAGTGGTCTGTGTATTATTTTTTTATTTGTTTAGTAGTGTGAGAGTTGAAATCAATAAATTGTGTTATTTTTAACACAGGTTTGGCAGTGTGCCACTGATGGCTCCTCCAGTCACAAGGGATCCCAATTTCAGTTGCTGGCTGAGTTGGAACATGATGCTGGGGTGAGTGAGGATGCTGCCTGCATGCTACATGTGTGGGCTGTTTAAGGTTTCATCACCATTTACCAATAACAGCTAGAGGTGTGGCAAAGAAGAGGAAGAAACCGTTTGAAACCCAGTCTCTGTTATTCAGTTCAGCCCTTACACTGTTAGAAATGAACAAAGGAAAACTGCTCACACTGCATTAAACAACTGATACTGACTCACAGTGGCGCAGTGGTTAGCACCATTGCCTCACAGCGAGAAGGTTCTGGGTTCGGGCCCCACCCGTGGCCCTTTCTGTGTGGAGTTTGCATGTTCTCCCCGTGCTTGCGTGGGTTCTGTCCGGGTACTCCGGCTTCCTCCCACAGTCCAAAGACATGCAGCTTAGGTTGATTGGTGTGTGTGTGGTTGTTCGTCTATGTGTTAGCCCTGTGATGAGTTGGCGACCTGTCCAGGGTGTACCCCGCCTTCGCCCGATTGCCGGCTGGGATTGGCTTAAATTTTAAATCTGTTTTCTCATGTACAGAATGTAATGTATAAGAACACATTTAGATTGAATCATTGTATTTTAGTTTGCTGGATGATCAGAAGAGATCATTTATGTACAGTGCACACACTATTCATATACAGTTGTTCATACTGGTCGCATAATTGTATTAACTCTTCATCATAAACTGTGGCACTGCTTTGCATTAATCAGTGATGGTTTACACAACCTGTCCCAGTTCTGTCAGGAAAGAAACAGCAGTTAGAGCAGTGATGACACATTGCACTAGTTCTGGCCTCATTACACTGGCTACCTGTGAATTTTAGAATTGGCTTTAGGGTCCTCTTATTAGTCTATAAAGCTTTAAATCACCAGGCCCAGCTTACCTGGCTGGACTATGAACTCTATACACTCTAAAACCTACCTTTATATTTGCATGTTGTTTTATCTGTTTTGTTGAACTTTGAAAGTGTGTGATGTGAGTCAGTATCAGTTGTTTAATGCAGTGTGAGCAGTTTTCCTTTGTTCATTTCTAACAGTGTAAGGGCTGAACTGAATAACAGAGACTGAGTTTCAAACGGTTTCTTCCTCTTCTTTGCCACACCTCTAGCTGTTATTGGTAAATGGTGATGAAACCTTAAACAGCCCCCATGTTGTTTTATACGTTTTATAGTTGTACTATTTTATGTGACGCATTTTGAGCTACACTGCATGAATTGTGCTACTGTATAAAAACGATTGATTGAAACCTCCAACCTTTATAGTGTACTTCATAATAAGTAGCATTATGGGTGGACAAAATAATGGTTACAGTTCAGTTCAACAGCACCACAAATAACATTTCCTACAATGATCATACAGTTGAATCAACACCTCTGTTAAACAGTTCCAACAAACTGACCGTGATGGCATTCAGAAAGGAGGATTTCTTTTAGGCCTGTTGGATCAGACTTATTTAGTTTTAGGCAGGTGTACCTAAGAAACTGACAATGGAGGTTACTTCTGTGTAGTTGATGTTTGTGCATGTCTAGAGGAAAAACTGTGGTTAATGTCACACATTGGTTTCACAAATTCAACCAGGATTTAAAGTCACAAAAATAAAATAATCATAAAACCCAACAGTCTTGAGTGATAAGAATGTTTGCGATAGCAGCAGTGAGAATGATGTAACATGAACACGTACTCACTTCTCTGTCATGTTGTTTATTTCAGGTGAATGCTGTTGGTTTGAATTCAGTGGGGGGACTGCTGGTGTCTGGCTGTAAAGATGGGACTGTCACCATCTGGGACACCAGCAGCTACGAAGCACTGAAGAAAGTCTCATGCCATACTGGAACCATACATCATACGGTTTTTAGTTCTGGTATGCCATCTTAACAGATCGTCTTAGTGTAAACCTCCTATAAAACTGTCATAGTGTGTCTAATGAAAGATGTGAAGAAAACAGTTTACAGAGTTTAAAACAGTGACTTTGTGTTTTGTTTCCTCAGACAGCCAACACGTTCTCACTGTCGGTGCTGACTCCTGTATGAAGGTTACTGATGTACAGACAGGAATGGTCATCTCAAATGTGAAAGCTGAGGAGGAGCAAAGGTAAGATCACACCATGTGCAGAGAGGAGAAAACTCTCAGCTCAATGTGCAGCTTTACCCAAAGAAAAAGCTCACTGAGGTTCCTTGGATAGCCTGATAGTCACGAACAAGCTTTTTTTTTAAATATTGGGCATCAAGCTTCTTTGCCCTGTACTGCACATTATACTCTAGTCTATGTGCCATATGCAGATTGACTGGTTCTAACCTAGTCTTGGACATCGAAAAGACTGATTCACTCTTCTTGTTGACTGATTCTGTGAGGCAGAAGGACTTGATAGCATGTGTATGGTGGTGGGGGGTTCCAGGTGTTTCTGCTGGAATGGAAATGATGTGCTGTGTGGGGGGCAATCTGGTGACCTCCTGCTGTGGGACCTGCTCAGCAACACAGTCACCAAAAGGATCCCAGCACACACAGGTACGCATTACCTTCCCACATACGACAGCTCACACAGTTCAAAGTCTGTGTACGTCTCATTTCTCACAGATTGCTGTGTTAGACAAAGCTTCTTAATACATCTTCCTAGTGGCAATGCTGCCAAAACAGTCAGCCTATGTATCCTGCTGTATGATTATTCCTGTTTTATATTGTTGCGTTCACTGAAGACAAGGAAAGGATATTTTTCCATCAATGTTTCTGCCTTTTTTGTTTTGCAATGATGCAGCTAAAGGTTGGCCAATGGATTTCCAACTATATCTACACCTTGTTGTAATATTATTGTGAGCTTCTTAGCTTTTTATATTGTTCTGATGTGCTGAGTTTTGCTTGAGAGCTTGTTGGTCTCAAAATGCCTCTTAAAGGGTGCTGACAGTTACTTAACTCATGGACTATTAGTTTGAGATTAAACCTCTTTAAAAACATCAGTGATCTGTATTAAAAACACAAATCAGTGTAAAATATGAAAAGTAGGGTTTTTATGCTCCTCCTTTGTCCAGGCGCTGTCACAGCCATGTGGATGAATGATCTGTGCACCACAGTGATCACCGGAGGAGAGGACAGACAAATGAACCTCTGGAAGCTCGAGTATTAGAAAAATGTCTGCACAAGCTCCAGTGCAACACAGGGTGACAATCCTGCAGACATGACATTGAACTGAGCCTCACAGAGCAGCGGCGAGGAGCTAAACATGCAAGTCACAAAGCAGTCTCTCTCACCTGCTCTGCATCCCGAATGAAGCAGAAAGTCAGCAATGCAAGCTGCATTTTGAAAGGAAATGTCCAATTGCTATTTTGTGTACAGGATCCAGTGTCACGCCTTATTATTCTCTTCTCTTTAGTTTTGGACTGCATTAATGTGGATCATTTTATGTACCATGTAACATTACTCTATGTATTTTATTGTGTAAAGTGGACACACTGTCATTCAGAGCTTCATGCTACTTATGTGTTGTTATAAAATACCTCTAAAATACTCATTCCTGTCACTTTTCTATTATTTCACGAGCTTCCTCCAGACAGCTGCAGCTGCACAGGTCATCATTTGCATTGTATAACTGGTTCAGTTTTACTGTGTGAAAGCAGTTCTTCAGTTTGATCAGGAACCGATTAGGTGCAGCATTTGTCTCCATCAAGGCGACTACAAAATGTAAGGTGAATATTATTAGATTATAATTACAACAATGTTTCATAACACCTTCATGGTTTTGGATAATGTGTGTACTGAAAAGATCATGTGAAACCTTGGAACCAGTTCAGCTTGTGAATGTGTCGTGTTGGAGTAGCCAGTGAAAACGTACAGATTTAAAACGGTGAGGATCAGTAGCATCATGAACCTGTTAACGTTTCTGCTCTCGAGTTTTTCTGTGGAGAGAAGACAAAAGGACATATTATGGTATATCAGGGCTCACCACTTACCCACTATGTAGGGGTGTGACAGTTCAGAAGCAAAACCAAATACAATGCAAAAGCCAAAAAACTGATACCAGAAAACGTAACCATGACCTCCAACTCTCCGCCACCGCACAAGCTCTAGCCTGGAGCCACCGCTGCCTTTTGAGCTCCCATTATTTGTAAAGTAACAAAACTTTTCTTTTTTACAGTTAATGTTATAACATGTAAATCACAAAATATTTGTATTATTCCTGTTATGCCAATTTTTTGGCACAGTGCTCTTGAAATGTGCGCTTACAATATTTCTAGCCGTGCCAGGCAATACGTCAGCAGCCAGACTTTACAGTACCTTGAGCATCTCTATCAGGCCTCCAAAGGCTCTGAGCATCTTGGGTGTTGGTGGTTTTTGTCCAAACAGAGTCAGACCTTTCTGCCTTTCTTCACTGGCTTTAGCAGCTGCAGGGCCTTTAGCTTTGATCAGTTTCCTTTATAATCAAACACAAACACAATCATTTACTGCTTTATGGAACAAAACTGTTACTGTAGCTGGCTGACCTGCGGTTTGACTGATTTATTTATTTGATGTGGCAGCTCCTGCTCGTGTGCTGTTCAACAGTAATTCCACACTAGCCCCTCCTCATTCATTTCGATGGGATAAGTGCATGAGATTCCTTGTGAGACAGCAGTCTCTGAATTAAAGATTAAAAGGTAATATAAACAATTTGAAACTAAACTTCAAACCTCTGTTTACTTCGAATGATCATGACCAAAGATAAAACAGGCAGAATAAATGGAGCACTGAGACACAAGTCTGACTTTGAAAATTGCTCCAGAACCGTAGTGAACTGTTCATACCTGGTGGACTTTAGCCAGACCTGCAGTTGGGCTAAGCTGCTCTCTGTCAACACGGGCCATGCACTTGTTAAGCTGCAAAATCCCCGTCTTACTGCCTGAGACAGTCCATGTTGAAGGACACATCCCGGACTTAATTCTAGTCACAAGTCTATTCATATCCAACCTTGTGAACAAAGTATTCCACCTGTATGGTCATTTGACAGTAACCTTTTGATATTACTATGCAGTGCACCCCTCCTATCCACCTCCTTTACTTCACTTTGGCTTCCTAAATTCCTGCACAGTGTATATGAAGAAGCATTCAGAGGCTCCCTTCAACATCAGTCTTTTCGTTTCCTTTAAACAGAGAAAATCTGCCTCTGGCTGACTTTTGTCAACAGAGATCTAGCATTTAGCTTGTTAGAAACTGGTTCTAATGGGGGGTTCTAAGACTTTACTTTCTTTTTATTATAATATTGAGGCATGCATTCAAATAAATGAGTTTTAAAAAGGGTGGTTTCCTTGAGCTGACTAGGCTACCAGAATTAAATGTGAGGACAGATGGCTGTCTGTACACTGATGACTGATTCATAAAAGCTATCACGTTATTAAGTCTGGTCTTGGGTAACAAACTGTTATACTTCCATCTAACCAGAATTTTTATCCTCTTCTCCCAATGTAAACTTATGAAAATTATAATAAACTGAACTGTGCTTCCATGTGAATGAGGAAGTGAAACAGGCCGTCGGACCATTTCTGCTGACTCGGCAGGAGAGAGGACACAGAGAGAAACTCTGGGTTTTCTGAAGAAAATCTGTCAGTGAGCAGGTTAGATTCACAACGCAAGTTGCCAAGATAACTGTCTGAGAGTTAAAGCAATCTTGTTTCTGGAGCTGAAACCAGACTTACCCTCATGTTTCCGGAATACCCCCAGGACTGCAAAGCTTCAGAGAGGTTACATCAACACCACCAGTGAAATGTTCCTCAGGACATTATTCATTTGTGATGTAAGGACTTTACTGAATTGTTTTCCTGTTTTTTTTTATTTATTTTTTTTTAAGGCTACTGCTGATAAATCATCCAAAATCAACTGATTTCGGTGTTAACAGATGTTGCTAAAGCACTTGTCAGTGACTCACCTTCCCTTCCTGGCCAGCACTTTCTGAGACTCTGGGTAGTGGACAAGGATGTCAAACAGATCCTTCTTCTCCAGGACAAAGAGGTTAGCAAAGCCATGCGCTTTGACATTAGCAGTGCGCCTGTTTCCACCGTCAGCGGACTGTAGTAGACTGTGATGAGGGGATAGAAGCAGAAATAATACCAGGTTCTTACAGTGCCTTGCGAAAGTATTCGGCCCCCTTGAACTTTGCGACCTTTTGCCACATTTCAGGCTTCAAACATAAAGATATAAAACTGTAATTTTTTGTGAAGAATCAACAACAAGTGGGACACAATCATGAAGTGGAACGAAATTTATTGGATATTTCAAACGTTTTTAACAAATAAAAAACTGAAAAATTGGGCGTGCAAAATTATTCAGCCCCTTTACTTTCAGTGCAGCAAACTCTCTCCAGAAGTTCAGTGAGGATCTCTGAATGATCCAATGTTGACCTAAATGACAAAGGATGATAAATAGAATCCACCTGTGTGTAATCAAGTCTCCGTATAAATGCACCTGCACTGTGATAGTCTCAGAGGT